TCGTACAGTATGCCCTAATCCATAAGGATTCTCAGTCCAAAAACAAACTATCACACAATTGATAGTTCTAGTCCCCTTTAATTAATTAATCTCTCTTAGTCCCCTTTAATTAACTAATCTCTATCAAGTTGCTTTGGTGAAGGCAACCCAAAAGGACCATGTACAATCGGGTCAAGTACTTACCAAATATAGTTACGGGCTTAAACACTAATCCAACAGTCTCCCACTTTGATATGTCTAGTAACTATAAATGTAACTACTATCCGATTAGCAATCGTAGCTCTCAAAGACGCCGTCGAACTCTAATCTTATCAGTAACCTGTCCTTTAGATAAGGGATCGTATAGTCCTCCGTTCTAGATATCGTGTAGACAATTACATGGAACATAATCATACTTATTGTCCAGCAGTTTGTTTTTCGATCTCTGATTTATCTAACATATAACTTAATTGAACACATCAATTCAGTAGTAACCAGGCGCGACACATAAGTCAAACCAAATCATTGAGGGGCCCAAATATCGCTTTTACCCGCTTAGGATAAAAGGAACAAATAAACTTCAACTTATATGAATTTACTATTTACTCATCAAATCATACACAACAATGCGTTTTATAACATCAAGTTATTGATACGTTTACGCATTATCAATACACAACCAACTCGCAAACAATAAACCATATATCTAGGTTTTAAGACCATATAATATTATCATCTTGCGATCACCCGAGATAAATTCCATGAAGTCATGCCAGCAAGCGCGGGTCTAATCCAATGCTCAAATCTTATTCATAAGCACTAATGAACGTTGTAGCAAACTTTTTCTATGTCTAATACACTTTATACTATATACAAACCAATTCACGATAATCTTCTGTCATACTAACTCCCAAAGTATGAGCGACTGTGGAACGTTTGAATAATCTTATTATTCAAGAAGTCAAAAATGCAAAGTGAAACAATAGGTAATCGATCAACATATGACAATAACTTTACTTATAAATAATACTCATTTATTTAATCAACAAATGTCAATTAGATTTCTCTATTACACGTTTTGAAGCTATTTAATCTAAAATAATATCATCCTTCAGCCCGATGCTCCTAGCATGCTGCAAGTGCTTAACCCTACTCAGTCCTTTCGTAAGGTGATCTGCTGGGTTAACCTCTGAGGATACCCTCTTCACTACGAGGAGTCCCTCTTCCACCCGATGTCGAATAAAATGATATTTCCTATTGATATGTCGAGATCTACCATGATCCGTCAGTTCCTTGGTCAAGGCAACCGCTCCTTCATTATCACAGAAAATCTGCATAGGCTCCTTTATGGCTAGCACAACTCCAAGGTCTTCGATGTGATGAATTAATGAATCAAGGATGAAATTAATCTGAGTTGATATTGAAGAAAGAATGATTAATTAAACACAAGATGTAAATAAGATTTCGCTTCAGCTCTATTATGCTTTGTGTGTTTATAGAGAAAAATAGACAAGGTTATTCAAGTTGTCTAACTCTAGTAAATGATCCTATTTATAGGATACATAAAGTGTACAAAAAATATACTAAGGCATTAACACTTAAGCTTCGAATAAAAGCGCCCTAGTAAAATAGATCACAATTCATACGAAGAGTACAAAGTATGCTTCGACTAATTACAACAAAACAACCCTTACAATCTCCCCCTTTGTAATCATAGTCGAAGACTTCAATTCGTAAGTAGTTGAATGGAATACAACATCACTCTTAGGATCTTAGTATACCATGAGATAATCTTCTTAAGTTCTTTTTTATCTCCTTCATTATTCTTCTTACAATTATTCATACGAACGATTATGTTCGTATATTGAGAAGTTGTGTACCTTTCCACCTCACCAGCCTGAAACAAAAATCATTTTGATTTTCCAGACTTGTCCTTCCCTGAAAAGACTAATCCAAAAGGCTTCAAGAAAATTTCACCATCAATATACTTCTTTAAATTTGCTTGAGTCTTCGAAGGAGCCATAGGAGCTATAATTTCCAATCCTTTAGCTATGGCCAACTCCACATCAATTAATTCTATGCATTCAAAATAATTTTCAATAAAGATCTTGATGTGAGTAACTCCAATCTTGAAATCATCTGGATCAGTATTCTGAAGATAAGAGAAAGATCTTTCCTTCAGCAGTAATGCAACTTATATAAGGTCATACAAGTTCATTAAAGGAAAATCAACAATTGTAAAATCACAAACATTCCCATTCGCCCTGGCTACCACATACTTCATATTTTGGACTGTGTTTTCAAAAACATCATTCTTTATGCTGATTACTTTCTTTATCTTTACTAATGACCACACCTCTTCAGCTGGTTTTGCAAGGACTGCATTGATTTTCATATGAGTTCCTTCATCTTTCTCTTTGAATTTGCTTTCGGTTTTGAACTGCGGCATGATGAACATCATCTCATTGATTGGAAAGTCCAATTGGCTTCCATTAGTATTTGTGACTATGTAGCTATGTTTTGGCTTCTTTTCGAATGAATACATATGATTAAATGCAACCTTGGCTTCAATTTTTTCATAGTTATAATGCTTTGACGGATTATCTTTGTTCATGCCAGGAGGATCACTTGCTCTTTGAGTCATTATACGTTGTACTAATCTCATCCTCTTTAGTTCAGCCTCAACCTCAACCTTCTTTTCTTCCTTTGACTTTTCTATCAAAATAGATTTTCCTCTTGCGTTCGAAGCTGAATATTCTATTACTTCTTTCATTTTTGAATCACTCCCACCAACATCCGTAGATTTACCAATCACAATTCCTTTCGAAATTGGTTTTGTAATTGGCACATTTATTACTACTGTCGAAGAAATTGGACCAGCAGATGCTATAATTGGTTTTGTAGTTGAAATCTTTGAAAGAAATACCTTTCCCACCACCTTCGCATCATCACCTCCAGCCTTTGAAACTTCACCCTTCCTTTCTCCCGCTTGTACCCTTGTAAAAACAGGCGGGGAATTTGTTGTTGGAAGAAGGCTGGATATGCGAGAAAGAGAAGCCAACTATTGAAGAAGTAGTGCTTCGAATTGAGAAATTTTTTGGAAGAGATGATCCAAAGATAGTTGAGAAGACGAAGTTGGTTTTGTAGATAAGGCTTTGAGCTCCTTTAACAATGTGAGGACTTCCATAAAAAATTTGTTTTCAGTTGTAGAAAGTTGAGATATTTGAGGACTCACTACTAGAAAAACAGCCTTTTACGACGCTCATTGTGCGTCGTAAAGGCTCAAATGACGCGCAAATATGCGTCAAGGAAGGCCCTACCATAAAGAGTGACGACGCGCATTTACAACGCACGTTTACGACACGCAATGCGTATCAAGGATGGCCCTGTCATAAAGGAAGACGATACGCATTCACGTGTCATAACCTTACGACGCATGTGTTAACGACATGCAATGCGTATTAGGAAAGCCCCAGTCAAGAAAGGCCATGTCATAAATGAAGATGACCCACATTTTTGCGTATCATAATTTTTAATGTTTAAAAAAAATATTATTTATAGATTTACTAATTTTCAAATTAAATAATACATTAAAAATCTCATAATACAAAATAAATAACCATAAATAACAGATAATTCATTTCACTAATATGTCAAATACAAATAAATATTCCAGTAATGAGTGAATGTTATAAAAAATGAACTCATTTATATACAATTGCATTATCTAGTTCACTATGTGCCAACAACTCTCTGTGTGTTTACTTTTGCTTGAGTCTTGTTTCCTCGAAAGCTTCTAAATCACAAACATTTTTAAACATACTGATCCAACCATGGGGTATTTTTGGAAAATAGTCTGAACATTCTTGACAAATCATCAACCTGCAAGTGAAGGGTAGAAAGGGAAGAAACAAATGTCCACAACCAATAAGAAATCTAAACACTAGAACAGTAATTGTTGATTCCTATAAACTCAAATGTAAGATGAGAGGCTTGTTCACAACCAGTAAGAAATACTAAGTAGAAAGAAACAAATTGATGATATTACCTAGTCGAGGAGGAAAATGACAAGAAATGGTACATAGAAAATATATATAAATATGAACTGGGAAGTGAGAAAATTATGATTACGAGGGTTTACAGTTCAGAACTAAAGTTTCAAGCTTTACAGTTCTGTTCCTTCTCAACACATCAAACATGGTTGACATGTTCTTATCAGTGTTTGTTTTCTCTTCTATAAGCAAGCTACAAAAATCCAATAGAAAGTACATGTGTTTATATGATGATGTGAGTGAGGAGAGAAAAAGTGATATACCATTGTTTTTGGTTTCTTTGATTTGTGTGACCCTTGCACTTGAATCAAGAGATGCCAAGTATTATTATTATTATTATTATTATTATTATTATTATTATTATTATTATTATTATTATTAAGTTGGCAGGAAATCTAATAATAAAAAGTTAAATCCTACTTTATTTTATATTCTTATTTAGAATGAATTGAGTAGAGATGACTTTTTTTTTTCAATTTTGGTCCCTTTTTTGAGGTTCTTGTGATGCTTTTGGTCATTGTTTCACATAAAATGAATATTTTTGTTTCTTGAGTATGGCTGAGTTTTGCAATATTTATCTTAAAAATATAGTTATTTTACTTAGGAACAAGGACCAACAACATTACAAAGCCACAAATAAGGGCCAAAATAGCAAGGGGAATCTTTTTGAGAACATAATTGAAAAAGTCAGCTATACTCAAGAGACCAAAAAAGCACTCTTTTATTTGCATATATATATATATATATATATATATATATATATATATATATATATATATATATATATCCTTTGTATATCTTAAATATATAACTTTAACTATTTTATGTTATTTACAAGTATATTTTGGCCTTTTAATAAAAAATTGTAAAACTGAATTGAATTCCTTCCAGCCTCCCTCATAATGGTAAAATCCATCAAGCACTGAATTTCAAAGGATTCTGATGGAACAGAAATGTCATGGAATGGACTCACGAATTCCAATTCCATTGGGCTCCTTCGAAATTCCCACAATCCAAACATCCCCTAAGTAGCCACAACTCAATGACTTTAAGATTGTGTCTATTACATGGGTTATTTTCAATGATTAGGATAAAGAGGGTTTTCATGTCTTTTACAAAGATGAGGATGAAGAGCATTTTTGGGTGGGAGAAAAACATTACCTTCTCCTGAATTGAATGGATGACTAAATTATATTGTCGTTGTCCTTCAAGTAAGTCAGAGGTCTTCACTCCATTATCAAGTTTCGCCTCAATTAAATCGACGTCCACATCAAGCTGTGATTCATTAGGAGTTCCAATCTTTAAAGCCGATGACGATTTAGGCAATTCAGTTTCTGGAGCATTCATAGGTTCAATTCCATCATGTTCAGCATCTTTTTGATGCCTAACAGCAACTCCTAAATGCACAAGAAGATCATTTGTTTTCCCTAAAAGCATAGTAAACCTTTCATTCTTGATTTCCACAATCATTCTCATGTAAGCTTCCTGATGTATAAAAGTAGATACACTATATATTATACATAGATATAAATATAGGGAAATAATTTACATACCTGAACAACATCATTCCTTTGCTTCCTACGTTTTTGAGAGGCCTAAACTTGCAACTGGAGTTCCCTTATTGCATTAACTATTTCTGCAAAGAATTTCCTCTTCCTAGTTTCTACTATATTCTTTTCTTCCTCCTCCAATTTCGTTAGTCTCTGCAACAAATGATGTTCAAAGAAGCATAAGCATTAATCTTCCATTTGTCTATTACAACATTGTACTTTCAACTTTTTTCTTATCAACACATTGTACTTTAAAAACTCTATCCAATTATACTATGGGTTTCTTTTTCTCATTACAGCATTGTACTTGAAAAAATCTACTGAAGTACAATGTTGTAGTAGAAAAAGATGCAAGTAGAATGCTATGATAAGGAAATAGATGAAAGTACATAGTTGTTTCTTGCAATTAACCCATTAAATGTTAATCTTTAGATACAAAAGAAAATATGGAAAAGCAAGATGTTATAAACTACAGTATACCTTAAGTCCATGGAGTTCAAGCAAACACTTTTACTGAAGGTCTTCATGTCTGCTTAAAGGTAATTCAAAATTCATGATAAAAAAAACAAATGATTAAAGTTAAATGATATCTACAAACAACTTCACCTGCCAGTAAATATTCATGTAGAATTGTATAAGACATCAAATAAAGGTCTAAGGTGTTGGTTTACAGAGCATTAGGACTTTAATTCCTTACAAAGATTATGGTAAAACAATTCGAATTCTGTGAAAGGAGAATTCCATTTAAATACAATGTAATGTGATTTTAAACCATCAGGATAGTAATAACTTCTTCAAGAAGGGGAACCATAAACAATGAAAATAATAGAAATATATTGGAGTTGACTGGTCTCAATTCCATTACAGGATATCAAGCATTCTTGAATCCAAAGGCAATAACATGGAAACGATGAAGGTGCTTTCTATCAATCTCTCATAATCAAATTTGCACCTTTGATGTAATTATGAAAATAGGCCAAATGCAAAAATCAAATTTATGATGCCAAAAAGAAATTACATTTAACTACACAGAGATTACCAAGCAATCTGAATATTTCTATACAATGTTAAAGTATAATAAAAATGCTTCTTATGGAAACCTTCAAGTTGTGTCAAACGATTTTAGATGTGGCTCTCGATCCATTTTTCCCTTGTTTCTGCCATTTCAGAACCTGTTATGTGATTAGATCGATGTTTGACCAAAGCCTCCTCAAGATCTGCCATTAAATCTCCTCCATTTGGAAATGGAGAGTTATTCTGTAATGATATCAAAAAGTTAGGCAGACACACCATGTAATAGTTATAAGTAGAACATATTTTACTCGGTAAATTCTCCTAAACATGAATAGTAGACCATAGGTCTAAACCTAAAACTGAAATTGCATATCCATTGAACATAGGTAGCCCAAAGATGTTTGCTAAACCATACACATATCAAAAGCTACAAGGCAGTTCATATAGACAAAAAGAAAAGTAGAATTCAACTAGAGAGAATTGCATTGAGATTATTACAATTGAGCATACCATGATTAGCCCTAAGCTATCAATTAAACTAAAACAACACAACCCACTGGTCGAACCAAATCCTTGTGCTTCTATACTAGGGTTTGTAAATGAGAAGCCGTGTTCCCCTTATTTGCTGAACGGATGAAGAAAAAGGAACAAGGCTAGAAGCGCAACTAGACTGGGGTTTGTAAATGTGAGGAGTCATTGTAGATGGAGTAGGGTAGAGGTGAAGACGAGTTTTGTTACCAATTTTATGTTGAGATTATTGTGTCTAATCGTCTCCATAAAGATACTATCAAGAGAGAATGGTATTCGATTTCTGGAAGGAAGCGAGCGTGTTACAGAGAGGGTGGATCAGAATCGCGGGAGATATAAGGAGAGAGTGAGTGGTCTTCGATCTGATCGATAGAGAATCATCGCCATAAAGATACGATCGAGAGAATGGTCTTCATGTTTCTGGTGGTGGTGGCTGTTAGGTTTTAAAGAGAGAAGGAGGGGAGAAAATGAAGTTCATCGGTAGGTGGAGATAAAAGAATGAGCGGGTCTTCAAAAAATTTAGGGATTTTGTTTCCACCGTATCATTTCTCGCCTAAAAGGCATGTTTCGTTAAAAAATTATAAAGCGAAACACTTACACAACGCACATTTTATGAAAGGCGCCCTCCGCATTACTTTTTTTTTCTTTTCTGACACTAATTTTAGGGCACGTATAAATGCGCGTCCTCAATCCTTAAAATTTTGGAAAACTGACATTATTTTTTAGGGCACGTACAAATGTGCGTCGTCTATCAGTGTGTGTCATTGTTTGCGCGTCATTAAAAGCCAGTTTTCTAGTAGTGACTCAAACTTTCATACAACTTAGAAAATTTTGTCACGACATCACAAATTATGTCAACCTTCTGATTTAGAGATGAAAATTCTGTGCGAACACATGCAATCTCTTTTTCCATGTGTTGTCGAAGCTCCTGAAGTTTAAAATTGACATCATCTCGCACCTTTTTCACATCTTGAAAGAACAATACATGATGTTCCTTTGTCACCATTCTCAATTCTTTCAAATCACCTTCAAATGTAGGCTTTCGAGAATTCACCCTCATCTCATTGTTATGATCAAATATATCAACTTTCTCCGAAAGACAAGACTCAGAGTCTTTGACCATGCCTGAAACTTTTGAGGTGATCCTTCCTTCTAGCAGTTTTAACAAACCATCAACTTCTAAACTCGTCACAAAATTACCTCCCCCAAGATCTACTTGTGATTGAAGAATTGAATTCAACTTTGTATTCAAGATCTTAAACTGCTTCATTTTCATAAGCATATGATCTGGGATATTAGCTTCTTCTTCATCAAATTCCAAGTTCTCAAAATTTCCTCCAAAGCTATCAGATTCATGCTCGATTTTCATAAAAATAGACTCTTGAATTGGTGAAGTGGTTGTGGGTGGATCAATGGATTGAGAAGAAAAAAGGGAAGTAATTGGTTGTTTGATAATGTTTTTGAAAGTAGGAGAATCAGTGGTGGAAGTACTAGGTATGACAGGTGTAACTTGTGGAAGAAAAGAAACAAAGGTTTTTGAGGTAACAATCTAAGGTTTACCTTGGTTTTCTTTCTTCGAATCATCCTTACCCATTATGATATTTGCATCAGTATTAGATACGTTTACAAGAATGTTAGAAGTTCGGGGCTCCTTAGATAATGACTTGGCAACCGAATCTTCGGGTGGTATAACGATTGTCTGTGTAGGAGTAGAAGTATCTTTGTTAAGATTGGCTTCAGGAGTTTATGGAATTGTTTAATCTTTGTCAGCTGTAGACTTAGAAGAGATGACCATTTTGCTTTTCTTCTTATTCTTGGAAATATTTTTAGCCATATCTGCAGCCCTTCGTTTCTTTGATGATGGTGAAGTAGGCACTGGAATTTCACGAAATAGAAGTCCTTGATGAGTACATGTGGCTTTTGGATGACGTTGGTGAGTAGAGATTGGCTCTTGTGCTTTGATTTCATTTTAATTCTTCGAAAAACACCAGTCTTTGAAGGAATAATTTCTTTTTGAGTTAAGGGTGTATCAGCAACTGAAACTTCATGTACAATTGGCTTTGCATCAGTAACTGGTAGCTTCCTTGGAACCTTCGTAGATTTTCACTACTTGATTTGTTTATCAGAAGAACCAGTGTCAGTCTTCTTCGTATGTTTTGACGTCGTCTCCTCTCTTGCCAATAGAATTCCAGTCTTAACAGTTGTATCAATTGTTTGCATATAAGTCACTAAGACAGTATTTGTTGGATCGATTTGTTGAGCATTGAATCTGGAATACGAGCTACAACAGGAAACTCCTCAGCATCATCAGTTGCATCCTTCGAACAACTATACACGTGAAAAACAACTTTTTCTTCAACATTAGGGACCATAATCCCCTCCCTCTCGTAAAAATACTGCAAGAACAAGCTCCAATATCTCGCACACGAAACGCCATGAAGAGCATTCGTGTTTTCGATACTCTTCAAAAATTCTTTCCACAATTGAGTAGAGTAATCACCTTGAAGATCATAATAAAGCCTTGAAATACCACGCTCCAACTGTTCTTCCAGTCAAACACCTCAAGAAAAATACCAAATAAGAAATTCCAAACACTAGGAAGACCAGACTTCTTGAAGTCACTTATCTTTGATAGTTGAGGTTGATAGACCATTTCATTAAACATATGTCGAATTTGTGGAAAGGTAAAATTGACATACGATGGGGAATTAGGATGTCCGAAATCTAACAGAAAAGCTTCTTGGATAGTCTAACCTTTTTATCATTCACCAAATTGAAAGTAACTGCATCAAAAGCTTTTGAATATGTAGCAATTGATCCGGCTTGAGAGAGCCATGAAAGTGGAACAGAAAACGAGTTGAACATAGCTTTTGACAGAACAGAACTCTTCTAAGCAACGATTAGCATCTTGATTTCTTCAGGGTATTGAGAAACATTTGCCTCCACTTGATAATCGTACCCTGAATCTTTAGAATCGGTAAAGAAGTAACATCATCAGTGGTGTGAGAAAGAGTTGTATCAGGATTAGCAGTAGATGCCATTTTTAGGGTTTGAAAGCTTTTATCAGAGAGTATTTGGGAATTATTGAGTTTGAAAGCGTAAATTGATAATGAACCCTTGAATCCCTTTTTATATGTAACCCTTGATTTTGAAATAAAAGCGGGGTGTGCATTTAATGAAATTTGACGTGTCACCGAGAAAACCGCATCATGATGATGATAATGTAACCATTCATGATAAAGTAACTGTAACATCGCCTCAAAACCTAGACAAAATACAAAACATCCCCTCAAACAGGCTGCTTTGGTTGCCCCAATGGAATTGTAACCATCAGAACACTTCGTATGGAAGTAAGGCTCTTTTACTTTAGGGTTTTAAAGTAAAGTCATTTTCCAGATTTTTGAAATCATCAGCCTGAGTTGGTATTACTTAGAACCTCAAGGATTTCGTGTGTGTAGTGTTTCAAAGAATGTAGATGAGATGCAATAATAAAAAAAATTTGGATATTCAGTGACGTCAAAAGTTCAATTTGACATGAAGGCAATTAAAACCCCGAGTAAAGATTGCTTCGTTAATCATCAAGAGTGATAATCAATAGCTTGTGTATCTTCCCGTGAATTACAATCGAATACTTGTAAAGAAGTATCAAAGGGCTTCTTTTAAAATGATTTTAAGGTGGCTTAATGAATTTCATTACATATCAACCTAAACATAAGGTGAGTAGGGTAATAGAAATTACTTGTTTGACCAGTGTAGTCAGTGACAGTTTTTCTTTGGAAAACTTTTAAATGACATTGAATTTCGGATAAACTCTCACTGAAATCATATTCAAGAAAAAATTGTGTACTAGATCCTGTTGGGTAACAAACATCGTGGGTTTCAAATGTTTGATCAAGACCACTCATAAGAAATGAATATGATTTGGAGTTTCGAATGTAGGTACATAAAAAACTGTTTTGTTAGAACCTGGAACATAGTTCCCCATCAATTCCTTAAATGTTGAGAGATTTGGATTTCACTTTCATCATGGTCCCATGATGTCTGATCGTAAACACAGATTTGTGATATATCTGGGTTTCGATTGGTTTGATCAGATACCTCTTGGACATATGTCTTCATGTGTGATTGTCTAAGAATTTTGAGATCAAAAACATTTAAGAAACAAAATGTACCTCTATTATTTTTGGACCAAACAGTAAACTCCTAACTCATGTGAGAAGAGTCAGGTAGCTCAGAAGACTAATCTGAATAGAAGCCTGATTGGGAAGAAGTTTTCGTATGAAAATTTTCATTAAGGCTTTCGAACATACACATTGAGTAAATTAGAGGCTTTGGTTAACATGTTGCGGCATGCTTCTATGGACATCTTAACTAGTTCAAAGTGTGAAAAATACCTGACCCTAGAAGTACAAGCACTACAGCAGGTGATTTAAAATGAAAATTTGCAACAATCAACGAAAAAGAAAGGAGAAACTAAATATTTTTGTTTTTTTTGAATTTTTGAAAAACAAAACAAAAAAATCTTTTTGGAATTTTTGATTTTTCGAAAATAAAATAAAAAACAGAAATGTAGTTGTTGCAAACATACGAAATTTAGACACCCATTAAAAAAATGACAAATATACGAATTCGAAGGATTCGAAGAATTGACTATGAACAGTAACCTTTGAATACTAAATGACATTCCTTTTTCTTTGATGACGTGTCTATGAACCATTCCTTTTTAACCATCATTCTCCTTTTTCGCATGGAACTGAATTTCCATCGATGATTCCAAGCCCTTTCAAAATTCTTACAAAAGACTTTTCATCTAAAGGTTTTTTGAAAATATCAGCTAACTGATTTGTTGTTTTCACAAAATGCACTTCAATATTTCCATCTTCCACATGATCCTTGATGAAATGATAACGAAGAGCAATATGTTTACTCTTTGAATGGTGTACAGGATTATGATAAGTTCTTATGGCACTTTGAGAATCAGAATATAAAAGAATCTTTTTCATATTAATTGCATAATCCCACAATTAGCTTTGAATCCAAATTATTTGTGAGGTACAGGCAGCAACAGCCACATATTCTACTTTAGCAATTGAAATTGATAGCCATGTTTTCTTCTTCGACTGCCAGCTCACCAATTTACCATCAAGCAATAGACAACTACCACTTGTGCTTTTACTATCAAGACTACAAACTCCCAAGTCCGCTTCCGAATAAGCTTGAACAAAGAACCCAGTTTTTGAAGGATACCACAATCCTAACGAAAATGTTCCTTTAAGATAACAAAATATATTCTTCACAACAATGAGATGTGGTTCTCGTGGATTTGACTGATACCTAGCACAATTACACACATAAAACATGATATCAGTTCTACTAGCAGTAATATAAAGTAATGAACCTATCATGCTTCTGTAAAGAGTTAGATCAACTGCAGGTTTATCTAATCAAGGTGTCAGCTTTATGCCAGTTACCATCAGAACTCGTAATTTTGTGCTATTCGTCAATCTAAACTTCTCTAGCAAATTCTTCATATATTTTTCTTGATTGATAAAAATAACTTCTCTGTTTTGACGAATATTCAACCCAAGAAAACTATTGATTTGTCCCATCATGCTCATTTCAAACTTGCTTTTCATCAAATTTTCGAATTCACTAGACAAGACAAGGTTAGTTGAGCCAAAAATTATATCATCAACATAAATTTGAACAAGCATTAGATGATTCCCAACTTTCTTTTGAAATAATATGGGATCAACTGCTCCTTGTTTAAATTTAGATTGTTTTAAAAATGAATTAAGCGTTACATACCATGCTCGTGGTGCTTGTTTTAAACCATAAACTTCCTTATCTAAGATATAAACATGATCATGATGTTCTTCGTTAATAAAACCTAGGGGTTGTTCAACATAAAAAGTTTCTTCAAGCTCTCCATTTAAAAATGCACATTTCACATCCATTTGAAAAACATCAAAGTCTTTGAGAGCTGTATAAGCCAGAAATATACGAACAACCTCGAGTCTTGCGACAGGGGCAAAAGTTTATTCATAATCTATTCCTTTTTGTTGAGAATAATCTTTAACAAAAAGCATGGCTTTGTTTCGACCAATGTTTCCATCTTTGTTGGTTTTATTTTTGAAAATGCATTTTAACCCGACAATCGAAACATCATTTGGCTTAGGAATTAATCTCCAAACCCTATTTTGTTCAAATTCAGATAATTCAGATTACATTGCAACAACCCAATCTGAGTGTTCCATTGCAATCTTAACTGTCTTTAGTTCAATTTAAGAGATAAAAAAATTGAACATGCAAAATTCTTGTGGATTACCAATTATTTGCTCCTTCAGATGATCTTTTGTCTATTTTTCC